TCTCACGTACTTTGAAGCAGAGGCTGGTCCCAGCAGAACACTGAGTCAGCCTCCTCTGTGGGGAAGAAGGGTCGGATCTGCTCAGGCATGTAAGAAAGAAGAAATTTCACAAGCATTGGGCTGAATTCACAGACTCACATCTAAATGTTGAGTAATATTGAGTAAAAAAATTAAAAGGCAGCCAAATAACCGTCTGGTTCATCCTTAAGTCTCTTCAGGTGTTCTGAGTGCATCTTCATTTTCTTAAGTGTATTTCAGAAGAGCCGCAGTGAGGCTTGCCCTAGAGAAGACTAGGATTTCGACTTGAGAATACGAGGCTTTTCCTGTTTCCTCAGCTGAGGAAGGAGGATTCTAAGACTTTCTGGAAAGACCCCTTGAATTTTGGAATTCCTGGCTTCTGCCTGCTGATTAGTTCTCCCAGGCAGAGGCCTGGGGCTGGGAGGCCCTGTGTGATGTCACAGAGCTTTGTGAGGCAGCCTGAGGCTTGGTTTGAGCAGGACCATGTAGGCAGGGCACCCAGCACAATCAAGTAGTTGCTCAGAATCCAAGCACCATACAGTCAGCCACTGGGAAAAAAATTCCATCTTTGCGATCCTTCAGTGTAGACCCTTGCCTGATTCCTCCTGAAGCTCAACCTGCAGAACACATCACCTCAAAGCAGCCAGTGCAGGCGATTCAGTGGTAGGTGGATGAGGTCAGTGCTGAAAAGTGGGAAGGACGAAGTGAGGGGTGGGGTTCCTTCCACCTAGAATCAGTGGGAGCAAAGCATGAGATCATTGAGTCTTGAGCGGGATGCTGGCTCTGCAGATTAGGATTAAGAAGATTTTTCAGCCTGGGTTATGCCACCCTGGAGTCCCACCAGGCATCATCGTAACCTTAGTTCTTAAGCATCAGGGCCAGGTCTCATTGTAGACCATCAAGGTCCACCCCATGCGCTTCCTAAGATTTATCCATCATGAATGTATTACTTATTCAAAAAACTAAATAGAAAAAAAATCTCTTCATAGTATCAGAAAATCATAGGTCTTGGGGGAGGGTATGACTCAGTGGTAGAGCATGTGCTTAGCATGCATGAGCTCCTGGGTTTAAAAAAATTTTTTAAAAAGAAAGAAAGTCATAGATCTTGTCTTGAGATTGTCCTAGGAAAGCAAAGGGTTACAAATACTGATTATTTGCAGAAAAATTTGTTGTGACATTATCTAAAGCATGGTCATGTGTTCCTGACTCTAAAATCTTACATTTTAAAACTCAGTGACTGTAAATCCAGATTTTGTGTGGGGTTTTGGTTTCTCAGTGTGTGCGTATATTAGTGATTATTGGCAACATTCTTTTTTGGTTTAATGGATTCTTTTCATTAACTCTCAGGATTGTTCTTTTTTTTAATGCATTTAAAATTTTATTTGCTATACATACAAATTATCATTGAAATATGTTTTACAAATTAATTCTGTGTTTTTCTAGCATGTGAGTTCCACGTATTTTAGTGAAGAAAACAATTGAACATGATTTTCTTCTGAGGATACAGAGTTGAAAAGCTAATCACAGACGCACAGGTCTCGGTAGGAGAAGCCTTCTGTGTTTTGTGGGGGTCTGGAGGAAGGTGTGAGGAGGGAGGGGCGTGAGGTGCGTATTCTGGAGAACTGGGGTGAGCTCTGCTTTAAGAAAATGTAATATAAGAAAACTTATATTAGTCACATAAGAAAATTGGAGCGAGGGTTATTTTCATAAGAGTTCACCTCTAAAGAAAATTTCCCCTCAATGTTTTAAATATAGTAGAATCCTTCCAGAGAATATGGATTTATTATTACTACTAATATTATTATTATTAACAACAAAATATTACTACTGTGTTTACTTCTCAGTAATAATTCTATCGTATGAATTCATGTGTTTACTTTGTATATTAAGTGTGCTTGCCTCCCCTCACCTATTTTCTCCTTTAACTGGTTTCTAATTGCTTTGGGGGTTTGGAGAAAGTCAAACAGAAGTCTCTCAAAATTGAGACGTTTACTAGGAAGACGTGGTGATAACATAAGTTAAAACAGCTTCATTCTCTTTTCAGTTGTTTCAACCCACCATTTCCCCTAGTTAGACGTTATCTTCTCTTATACATTTGAGGCTTTTTCTTTTTCTTTTTTTTTAATTAAGATACAATCAGTTACAATGTGTCCATTTCCAGTGTACAGCACAGTGTCCCAGTCATGCATGTACATACATGTATTTGTTTTCAGATTCTTTTTCATTAAGGGTTATTACAAGATATTGAACATAGTTCCCTGTGCTATACAGAAGAAAGTTTTTTAAAATCTATTTTTATATATAGTGGCTAACATTTGTAAATCTCAAACTCCCAGATTTATCCCTTCTGACCCCCTTTTCCCGGTAACTATAAGATTGTTTACTATGTCTGTGTCTGTTTCTGTTTTGTAAATGAGTTCATAGTGTCCTTTTTTTTAGGTTCCACATATGAGTGATATCATATGGCATTTTTCTTTTTTGAGAAAAAGCCTCAATTGTATATTTATAAATTTATAGTTCATAAATACAAATATATTTATATTTATACAATTGAGACTGTTTCTTTGCGTAACCAGATACGTCACTTTTCAAGTGTTACTCATCCACTCAATGAGCCATTGTTGTGCAACTGGGATCATTGTCAGGGTGTTAATCCTAAATCCTGGGAGAATGCTCCCATGAGAATCAACCTCCCGAATCCATAGTCCTCAGGACTCAGCCCAGGCACGGGCCCCTGACCTCGCTGGGTGGGATGCCCAGGTCCTGCGGTTCCTCGGGGAGCTCACTTTCCTCCCTGAGCCGGCCTAGCGCCTTCCCGGCCCAGCTATGTGGTAACTTGGCCCTAGCTGTTGACCTGGGGGTCAGGAGGGGACTTGGGAGGTGACCTGAAGGAGGGCAGGTGTTGCCTTTTGAAGTGGAGGCCCCTGCGTCCCCTCAAGCAGAGGGGGAGGGCTGATCTTTGGTGGGAGGAGTGGCCATCGCTGTAGGCCCAGAGGCTCCCCGTGGGTCTGGGGCTCACACTCCACCCTGAGGCTCAGAGCCTCCCTCCTTCCCGGGACTGCAGGCGAGGCAGGTGAGAATCAGCCTTCCCTTGCCTGCAGCTCCCCGCCCTTGTCATCAAGCCTCTTCAGTTGTAGGGATGAGTCTATACGCGGCTAAGGGGGCCCTCTGACTCAGGTATTTTGCCCTAACTTGGTGACTATTAGCCCTCAGCCTTTCACTACTTTTCTCAGATGCTGCCACAGCATCGGACCACAGCCATGTTGACTCCATGATATTTATAATTACCCCTCCCTGCCCTCATCTCTCAGCGTGCCAACCAGAGCACTCCCGCCTTCCAGTGTTCCACCCAGGCCACCGCGGTGGAGTTTTAATGAGCGCACTGCTTCAGCTGGCCGGGAGCTTTCAGAATGCCACCTGTCCACCAGCAGCGGGGTCCTCAGGGAAGCCAGCGCGGGGGGACTCAACCCCCAAATCCCATTTCAGACTCTGTTTCCCAGGACCACCTCCACTACCAACTGCGGGAGGTTGAGTTTCCCAGAAAACAGACTCAGAGACTGAGATTTGCATGTAAGTGCTTTACTGACGTGGGTTTGGGTTTCCAAAGTGAGGGAAGCGGTGGGACTGGGATGTGTTTGCAAGAGGGACCTTGCCAGTCCCATGGGCAGCTCTGGGCTGGGGCCTTCAGAGTCCTCCCAGCCTGAGACGAGAGGTTTCCGCCCCCGGACCAGTCTTTGAAGGTGAGTTCCCTGAGCGGGGGCGAGCCTTGGGCGAAGCAGCCGGCCTCAGCCGAAGGCCGCTCTGGGGCAGGGGCTCGGCTGTGAGCCGGCGGCAGCCAGCCCCCCAGCGGTAGGGGCAGTGGGGGCCCCAGTCCGGGGGGGGGGTGATGCCGTGAGCCACACACACTGCTGCCCAAGCCAGCGGACCCAGGTGTGCTCGGGCTCTTTGTGGTGGTTTGACGCCACGGAATTGTTACGAGTACTGGTTTCTGCCCAGCAGGTTGGTCTCCTGCGTGAACAGGGGCGGTACGAGCTCGCGGGCCGTAAGAGCTCATGGTAGGAGCTGTGCAGGCCGGCTCTCGGGAGGGCCGCGGCCGGAGCTGCGGGAGCCGGCTCCTTCCTCGCTTCCGAGGACAGGACGGACGAAAGTGAGAGATGGGGTTGGGGAGGGGGAGTTAGGAGTCTGGGATTGGCAGGTGCAGACTACTATATATGAGCTAGGTGAACAGCAATGTCCTGTGTAGAGCACAGGGGACTGTATTCAACACCTCGTAACAGCCTGTAACAATAAAAAATCCGAATAATAAGGACACAAATGAACTAATCATTATTTTGATTTCTTGAATATGTGTAAGCACATCTGACTGTCCTTTGTGATTGGATTACCGCATTCTATTGATTTTTACTTTGTAGTTGGCTTTATTCCTTTGATAACTAAGTTTAAAAAGCTAAAGATCTAATCTCTTCTTAGAAACAATAATTAGTACATATGTGTAAACTAAAAAAAAGTGCAGTATACTGTATATATGTATTGACATGTAATATAATGTATATGTGCAGTCGAACTGTAGTAAGAAAAATGAAGAATCTGAAAAAGAAAACATAATATATGTGTATATATATAGCTGAATCACTATGCTGTACACCAGAAACTAAGACAACATTGTAAGTCAACTATACTTCAGTTAAAAAAAGTGGGCGATAATACTAAATGTTCAGGTGCCAGGAAGACACCTGGAAAGAATCAGAGCTTGAGAAGGAAGACCCACGGCACAGGGACCTAGACCAGGGTTACAAAGGCTGGAGCTGGGGTGTTGGAGGCTCATTTCATTGAGTTCCTTTCCCAGGAGCCGGGAGGCGTCATGGGACTTGAAAGGACTGGGATGGGTAAGACCAGCGTTCTAGGTTCAGGTGTTTGCCAGCGTTGTTGCTGTTTGATAGGCAGGGTTTTTTTCATTTTCAATCTTTTTTAAATCTTTGCTTTAAGAACATTTATCAAAGTAATGCATATATATATATAAAAATAAAATTAAAAAAATCTTAAAAGAAGGCTAGCAGGCCCTGCCCAACTCCCACCCTAACTCCCAGTTCAACTCCCTAAAAGCAATAGACTCTTTCATCTGTTTCTTATGACAGTGACCTTGACATTCTAAATAATATTTTCAGACTTCTGTTTTTTGGCTTATTTATATTATACAACAACTTAAATTTTCTTACATGGCTCTTTTTTTTTAAGCTTATTTTCCCAATAAATCTATGATTTTGGTGGGGGGATAATACAGTTATCAGGGCTTACATCTTCATCACTCTATAAATACCATTCCTTAATTTTTACATCTACCTATACGTCCCCACCCCAAACAGTCCATCAAATCTGATATTCTTTTGACTTCTCTCCTTTGTGGGGTGGGAGTGGAGCATCCACAACTCAAGGCCAGCCTCCCCTCGCATCTCTGAGCCCCTGCACAGCTGTCCTCTGAGACTTCTCTGCCTCTCTCCTGGGTTGAATCCCCTCTCCTGGGTCCTTGTCTTCTTGGTTTACTCTTGGTTTTGTTGGCGTTTACATATTTACAATCCACATGTAGTTTCCCAAAAAAGAATACAAAGACATGTAATTTTTTGAGTCCTTTACAGACCTGAAAACACCTTCATTCCATGCTCATGCGTTAATAAGTTTTGAGGAGGTATAGACTTCAAGGTGAAATACTGTTTAACTTAGAATTTTGAAGCCATTTGTCTGAAGTCTTACAGAACCTAGTGTTGCTGCTGAGGAATTTGATCTCTTCCTTCTTTACATGTCAACTGTTTCTCCTGCCTCTGGAAGCTTTTAGGATCCTTTACATTCATTGCATTGGCTGTTCTGGGAGAAATGTTTGTATTATTTGATAATCGCCTCCCACCCCGCCCCTGCCCTGTTTCTCTCTGACCATCTTTTGGAACCCTTTTTACAGTTGGATGGTAAACCTCTTAGAATGGAATAGCACCTCCCTCGTTCTTAGGTTTTCCCTCCCTCTTTCATTTTGTTGTGCTTTCCAGAGTATTCCTTTCATGCTATTTTCCAACCTTCTAATGATTTTTAATTTTAGCAGTCATGTTTTAGGTTTCAGCAGCCTCTTTTTGTTTTCTAAGTGTTCCTCTTTCAAGCCTGCTCCTCTGGTTTTGTGGATGTCTTGTCTTCTTACCTGTCTCTGAACAGTCAAAATCAGTGTTTTGATTTTTTGAAAGCTCTCACTAGCGGTTCCCCTTTTCTGGTTCTATTTGTATTTTCTTTCTTTCTAGAGGCTCCTCAGGTGCCTCTGTCAATCTTTGGCATTTATATTAGTTTGCCAGGGTGTCCATAACAAAATCCCACAGACTGGGTGGGACACTTATTTTCTCACAGTCCGGAGCCTGGACATCCGAGGTCAAGGCGTCAGCAGGTTTGGTGTCTTCTGAGGCCTCCCTCCTTGGCTCACAGACGGCCACCTCCTCACTGTGTCCTCACATGGCCTCTCCTCTGTGCGTGTGCCCCAGTGTCTCTTCCTCTTTTAGAAGAACACCAGTCCTGTTGGATCAGGGCCCACCCTAATGGCCTCATTAAAACATAATAACATCTTTAAAGACCCCATCTCCAAGTACAGTCACGTTAGGAGTGAGGACTTCAACATACAAATTTCGGGGGCCACAATTCAGCCTGTAAGAGATTCCATCCCAGTTGAAAAGCAGGCACTAGCCTGCTGATGGGGCCCCTGGGTGTTCTGCTTCCCCACGACCGGTGTCCTGTCTAAGTGTTGACACATGGAGAGCTGGCTGTTTTGCTGGCCCCCCGCTTCCCCTGCACAGAGGGCTTCTCTCTGGGGGCCTGTGTTCCCAGCACAGAGTAATTCTCCCTTCTCCCACCTCAGGTAGAGCAGCTTGGCTGCCAGGTCCTGTGTGTGAGGCAGGACAGAGGCCGAGGGATTCAAACATTCCATGTCCAGGTGCCCCCCCTCCCGATTCTCTGCCACCTCAGCCCCAAGATTTCCTCGTTTCTCCAGAGAAGACATTGCCGGGCTCCTTCTGACTTTTCTGTGCAGGGAAGGGTGTCGAGAGCTGCCTGCTGTGCATGTAAGCTTGGAGCCTTTCCCAAAGCCTCCCCACATAGCCCCTGACAGGCCTGGGCCTCCCAGCCCTGAGCTGCCCTGGGGTCTGCTGGCCTCAGAGTCCTGTCACCACACACCTGGAGTTGTGACTTGCTCTGTCCTCCCGAGTCGGTCACACGTCCAGTAGCATTCTGTCTTCCAAACCTATGATGAAAACTCACATGCACTGTTCCCCTGACCACTCTTTTCCTGGAAGAGTGTTCAGCTTTATTGTTTTCATGCTTGAGTCAAGAGGGAGAAGAGACGGACGCATATATTCAACCAACCATCTTTGCAGGAAGCCTCTCAAGAGTTTTTTTTTTTTTTGATAAATTATGAAATATTTCAAACGTAAGGGAAATATACAAAAAGATACCAGGAACACGCTGCGTACACATCACCAAGCTTCAGCAGACCTCATCATTTCACCATATTTTTTCAGAGCTTTCCTAAAAGTAAGCATTAAGGACACAGTGGGAGCTCTTTCTTCTCCTCCCCCGGCCCTCCCACATGGAGACGATCACTGTGGTGACTCTGCGTAGCCCATTCACAGACGAGCACCATCGTGACTCTGTTTAGATCATTCACAAGCATGGCCCCCCCACCCCCAGCATTTGCTACCTTCAGGTGTGTCCACAAACCATTGTCCTGCTTTTCCTGTTTTCCAAATTTATGTCGGTAGCATCAAACACTACTTGATTTTTTGCACAACATTGTATTTTCTAGATTTTATGATATTAATACATGTCCCTCCAGTGGATTTGTTTCCAGTGTTGAACGAGGAGCCTCAGTTTATCAGTTCTTTTATTGAGGGAAACTTAAGTTGTGTCCAGTTTCTATTACAAATGTGACTGCAGTCAGTGTCTGCCGACGGGGGTCTCGTCAGGGTGTGTTCCCGGGGATGGGACCGTTCCGGCAGACCCATGGCTAGACTCAGCGAGACTGGACGTTGCAGAATGGTTGTGCCATTGCACGGCCCCATCAGCGGGGGACCACACTTTTATTGCCCGCTTTCTTTCCAGCATGTGACATTGTATGTTTTTTACATTTCTAACAGTCTGATCAGTGTCAAAGCAGCTTTTTAAAATGAAGACCTGTGCTGTCACTCCCAGAAGCGTGTATGAGGGATGAGTAAGCCTTCTTTTGCATTATTGCCTGTAGCTTTAACTCAAGAGTATGGGTAAGGACTGAAGTGATATATTATGTTATACATTTTGATGTTAAGTAATCTTATGACTATCAGGTTTAAGAGTTTTTGCTAAAATTCTTAAAAGGATACACTTTATCAAAGTACATAATAAGCACTGATACCAAATAATTCTGTTTTTCAAACACTGAAGATTGAATTTAAGCCAGGTAGATGATCTACAAACCATTGGAATATCTAATACAGCTTCTCTTAACTCCTTTTGGTTTAGGAAATATTTAAATGGACCTCCAAAAATGCTAGGTTTACAATGAGAAATGTTATAATTAAATGTTTACTCTGTGGATCCTTTACATTTGGCATCTGGACAGCTGTCTTTACTATATATTTTCGCAATAATCATGTGGGGAACCAGGAGAAGATACCCCTGAAGAAAGAAGATCCATTTATTTGGTCCCTTGGAGAAAAATTGCAAGAGCAAACCTTCCAAGGCTCAGAGCAAATACCAAGACCACATGTAAGCACTGGCAGTTCTAGTAAAGATGAAATTAAAGAACAGAAGCCAATTTTGAAACTACGTAAGTATTTTTACTTCCTCTGCTAGCCACTTTGAGGGGAAAATATGCCATAAATTTAACATTTGGAAGAGTAAGAGAATGTTCTTTTCAGAGCAATTCAATTTTAAGTTATGAAATATTTCACATATATATGTGTGTATATACAAACAGAGAAAATAACAAAACAGGCTTATATTTACCACCTAAATTTAACAATTTTTATGTAGTTTGCTGTTTTTCAAAGAAATAAATTTTAATGGGTACAGTAAAAACTTCACCCTCATTCCCTGCCCCCCCCCCGGAGGTGGTAGTTAACCTGAGTTGATGGATATCTGCCTCATTCCCTTTATGTGTTTTCTTTAAGCAAAATGTATTATGTACTTTAATGTATTTGTAGATACTCTGCAATGAACTGCAGTGCTGCCGTGAATATGAATGTGCAGCTCTCTGCACAAACACACTTCGTTCCTCTTTGGCAAATACCTAGGTATGGGGTGGCTGGGTCACGTGGTAGGTGAATGCTTAATTTTAAAGAAAATGACAAACCCTTTTCCAAAGTAAGGGTGACACTTTATATTCCCTTCAGTAGTGTATGAGAATTCCATTTTCTCCAGATCTTGGCCAACACTTAACATGGTCAGATTTTTAGATTTTAGCCATTTCAGTGGATGAGTAATGGTGTCATTGTGGCCTTAATTTGCATTTCCCACTGACTAAGGACTTTGCGCACCTTTTCATGTGCTTAATGGCCACACATCCCTCTTCTTTTGTAGTCTTTTGTCCATTTTTCAATTGGGATATTTGTCTTCTGATTTCTAAGACTTTTAAAATATATTTTGGGTTCAAATCCTTTGGTATGTGAGTTGCAGTATTTCCCACAAGTCTGTACCTTGTCTTTTCATTCTTTTTTTAAAATTGTGATATAACTGATATATAACATTGTATTCATTGTAGGCATACAACACAATGATTTTATACATGTACATATTGCAAAATGGTTACCACAATAAGTTTAATTAACATCCATCATCACACGTAGTTAATTTTTTTTCTTGTGACGAGAACTTTTAAGATCTACTCTCTTAGCAGCTTTCAAGTATATCATACAGGATGCTAACTAAGTCTTCATGCTATACATTTTCATTCTCTTTTGAATGGTTTCATT